ACCCACCACCATGTGCTGGGTGCTAAGCCTCATTTACCTCACCTGAGAATGGGTGAGAGGAGAGGCTTCCTCACTGGGCTTGTGGGAGGAATAAATGTGATGAGGCAAGTTTCAGCTCATCAGCTAGGAGTGCTGACTAATCTTCAAGGAGCACTCACTATGTGCTAGGTTTTGTTCTTGGGGCTTTTCAAGTATCAACTCATTTAACCCTCTCATCGACCTTATGAGGTGGGTACTATTATTATCTCCATTTAAAAGCCAAGGAAGCTGAGGCCCGGAGAGGTTAAGTGACTTGCCCAGGATCACACAGCTGGGAAGTGGATAGGCTAAGATGCAAGCTCACGCCAATCTGGCTCCAAGCCTATGCTTGTTCCCACTGCTTATCTTTCCTGGTGGGTCCCGCTGGTCAGTGAGGCCATTTCTCCCTGGCCTTGTAGGCTGGTCAGGACTGCACGTGTCTAATGTCTGTTGTGGCCCCAAGGGGGTCCCACTTACAAAGGTCACGACAGTGCTGGGAGTGACAGAGAAAGGGTCATCTGGAGAGTAAGAGAATTATGACATCAAAGACAGCTGGAAGAGCAAACAATGTTAAAAGGCAAAAAGAAAAATAAAAGATCCTGTAATTAAACTTTGGCTCAAAGGGAAGGGCAAGAGTCCTGTGGGCAGATGTGGAACAGGAGGGGAGCACAGGGACCAAATTAGGACACGGCATGCAGAGCTGGGCGGGGGCTCAGGGCAGGGAGGGCCGAGCCCGTCTCAGGTGATCTGAGCTGTGAGGATGCCCCCCATGCCCTTCTCAGGCAGCTCAGCTTCAGGAATGGAGATTACAAACCCTGGGGATCTTGTCCTGGGTTAGAACCCCCTTCCCCACCCACGACTGCCTGTGAGGGAGAAGCAGGCAGTCCTCAGTGTCTGGGGCTGGGACAGATGGTGGGGGAAGCCGATGATGACTTCAGGTTCTGGGTACTCAGTAAATGTTTGTTGAGTGAATAAATGACTTCATGGACTCAACCGATGATCTGATCTATCTCCTGGTAAATGGCATCTTTTTTTTTTTTGCAGTACGCGGGCCTCTCACTGTTGTGGCCTCTCCTGTTGCAGAGCACAGGCTCCGGACGTGCAGGCTCAGTGGCTATGGCTCACGGGCCCAGCTGCTCCGCGGCATGTGGGATCTTCCCGGACCGGGGCACAAACCCGTGTCCCCTGCGTCGGCAGGTGGACTCTCAAACACTGTGCCACCGGGGAAGCCCTAGATGGCATCTTAGTCCCGTCTCTAAGCTCCTAAAAGGTGGTCATGCCACACGAGCTCCCCTCTGATCCTAAGAGGACAGGGAGAGAACATTCTCAGGCCCGAACCAAACACACCCACCACAATGAGAACAAATAACTCGCTGGCCAATCAACAGAGAATCTCACTGAACCTCTTGCAATCCGATGAGCTGTCCCTATTTACAGATGAGGAAACAGTGGCTCAGAGACATGAAGTCACTTGCCAAAGTCATATAAGCAGTGTCAGGGTGGGACACAGACCCTGGATATCTGACCTCCACACTCTCCCGCCTCCCCTGGGGGTCAGAGGACACTTCAGCCTCCTTGGTTCCCAAACTGCTCTGTTTCAATCAGGCCCAGATGAATGTGTCTGTTCCAACCCAACGGAAAGGGTTTTCCATCATGCAGGCCATATCCCCTTCAAGGTGGAAGAAGAAGGAAGCAGGGAAAAAAAATTTCCCAGCAGTGGCCTTGCCATCTTCTGGCTGGGCCACTGCACATGCTCCTTAAAAAAGTTTCACCTCTGATTTAGCATAAGAAAACTTTTAATTTAGATGTTTTCGTCTCTCTCTCCAAGTAAAAATAAGTTTAAAATAATGACTGTAATAAATGAAGGTAATTAATTGTAGTTTGTTCCTTTACTGTCTAGTCAGCTTAATTTTACCTTTTCAACTAATAATGAGAAAATAATTTCTGTGCTTGGAGGGTTAATGATATGTAACTACGAGAACTGCTAATTGCATGTTGCAATCCATCCATCAACAACCCCATCTGTGCGACTTGATTATGTTTGCTAAATTATTGCTTTGAATTATCTTTCATAAAGCAACTTTTGTAATTAGCAGGGCTTTCGTCTTGCTCTTTTCTCTGCGCGCAAGGATATTCAAACTTTGGCCATTTCAAGCTGTCTCCATTAAGCCACCTTCTCTGGCTGTCTTTGTTTCCCTGAGCAGGGGGAATCAAGACTGTCCTTTAAGCAATCAAGGCGGAGAGGAAAAGCTTCCTTGATTCACAGCAGGGCAAATTCACTTCCTCTCCGCCCCCCTCCCACCAGCATGAAAAAGAAAGAAAGGAAGGAAGGAAGGAAGGAAGGAAGGAAGGAAGGAAGGAAGGAAGGAAGGAAGGAAGGAAGGAAAGAAAGAAAGAAAGAAAGAAAAAGGAAAAAAGACCCTTACACATACACAGTATGAAAAGATAAAAGGATGCTCGTATGCTGTATTCACCAGGGCTGGTGGAGTGAAATTAAGGAATGAACTTGAACATGTTATATTTCAACAAGAGGCCCACACTGGGGAAGAAGGAATGACAGGCACGATATTCAGCCTTGGCGTTTTATGGGTTAGTTTATATGACTCTGGAAGGTGTTTGCCTCAGGGAATATTCCTGGGAGGTGATTAATGCCCACTTGGGAATCCTCAGCTCTGAGCCTAGAGCCTGGTGGCTGGCAAGAGGGAAGCGGCATAAAGGATGAACCCTCATTAAAAAAATTAAAATGAAAATCAAATTTGGATTATAAACGGCCTATGTGTTCTGGACGAAGGAGATGCTTTTTATTAACACCTTTCTTTGCCGATGTTTCTTCCCTGAGGCGCTGGGAGGGACATGGCGGCCGCAATGGATTAGTCAATAGATCATGAAGAAAGCAGGGGTTTCGGGAATAAAACTCCAGACAAATGTAGTCTTTTTGGTACACTAAAGGGACGACGGAAAACCCTCTTAAAAAAATTAACGAAGTTCCTTGAAGATCCCCGGCTATTAAAATGGTGTGTATTCAACATGCCACATGGGTTTGGAAATGAAAATTCACCTTTGCCTATTTTGGCCCCACTAAGACTCTCTCTCTCCTCCTGCACTTACTGAGCACCAACTGTGTGCCAGGCACCATGTCGACTGCCTCCACCCTGCTTAGTTCTTAGAATCCTTACTGTTAGCCTCACTTACGAGAGGAGGAAAGCTGCAGCTCCGAGAGGTGGAGGAACTTCTCCCAGGTCACACAGCTCATATAAGCAGCAGGGCTGAAATTCAAGCCAGGCCCATACGAGTCTGATTCACATGTGCTTTCCACCATGCTGCACTTGGGTCTTCCCTGGATCACTGCCGAAATCTAATGTTTAACTCTTTCTCCTATTGGAAAGATGGCATAAGTCATGCCTGCTTCCTATAGGGATAGAAAACCCCCTTCTTTTGGGTAAAAATCCTTGAACACCTAGTTAGGAAAGAGGCAGATTCCAACCCAGGCATAGTGGAGGCCAAATAAACCTGTGTTGAAGGTGACTGATAATAGGAATAATAAAATAATAAGACTTCTAATATGCAAGGTAATGTCCTAAGCACTCCATGAGTATTGACTTTGTTCTTCCTCAATCACAACCCCATGAAGTAGGTATAATTATTATCCAATTTTATAGAGTATGACACAGAGGCAGAGAGAGGTCAAGTAACTTGCCTAAGGTCAAACAGCTAGTAACTGGCAGAGGCAGGATTCAAATCCAGGTTGACTCCAGAGTCTGTGCTCTTCACTCCCTAGCAGCTCTCCATGTACCGGGAATTACATTAAACTCTTTCCTTTCATTATATTTCAGTTAATCCTCAAAAGAACATGAAAAGATCTGCAGTGCCTTTATTCCACTTTAACATATAGAGAAACTGAGGGTCTAAGTAGTTAAGAGAAGCTCTGCCACACTAACCCAAGCAAGGGAATGGCTGAGAAAGTGACGCTCTACACAAGACACTCACTGCCTGTCTTTGGGCTGGACAGAGGGATCAGCTGCCTGAGAGGGCTTGTATGCTGAGTATTTCTCAGGGGACCATGAGCTGGCGGCAGATGGGGGCCTTTTTTTAAAAACATAAAAGCCATGACGACACATTCCCAACATTATTGGTCTTCTTTCTGGTTTTTTTCTACCCCCTTCCAGCTCAGGCACCTTACAACCAAATGAATCAATACCGGATGGCCCTATAAATAAATAAGCGCATCAGTCAACTCAGTAATAAAATGAAAGGATGAAAAATATGGAAATCAGCGACATTTGTGTAAATCCAGTTATTGTTTACTTTAATATTGCCTTATGCGCTTACGCAGTTCCGAAGAGACAGATTTAAAGTAATGTGGCACTTGGCAGACGACAGACTTAAAATACATCTCCACTGGCGAGCTCTGAGAAGTGCCTATCCTTCCAGGGTTCTGCCTGAATACAGGGTAAGACGGAGAAGAGCCCCCTGAAGACAGAACATTGGAGAAATGGCCCTCCCTTCCACTCTCCTGACTCAGTGTAATTTCATTCTTTTCCTAGCCTACCTCCTGCACCAGCCAGACAAGTGGACATTCTCAGAATCCTGGTCACAAAGTCAAGCAAAGAGGAGAAACAGAGGAGGTTCAGCTCCATCCCAGGGCTCCAGGACGGCAAGAGAAACAACTGGCTGAGGACAGCTCAGCTGCTGCCAAAGGAACTAGGGCCCGATGGGTTGGCAGGAAAGGATGTGAAAAGTGTAGATTTTATATCCTCAGAGGATGGGTGGTAGAGAGGATTTCAGAGCAGGCAGAAATCCCATCGAACAGAACCGAGAACCCATTCTTATCATGATACCATGGCTGATCAGGAGGGCATGGGGCAGTTTGCAATGGGGGTAGAGAAGTTTCTGTGCTGCTGGCATCCTCTGGCAACTCCAGGTGGGACAGGAGAGGGAACTGGGAAGTATTTTTGTGACGTGCCACAGGCCTTGGGTCTTACCTCAGCTTGGAAGCTTTTTAATACAGGAGCCACCATCTCTCTGATTTCCTGTAAAAGAGATCAGCGAAGAGTTCACCGTGGTGCCAAGTGGGATACCCCCATGGCCCCTGTTTGCAGCTCATTGCTGTCCCCCAAATCAGTATTTCCCAAGCGTGTCCCGTGGGACCTGCACTCCATGAGATTTCATAAGGGTTCCTCATATATACACCTACAGACAGACACAAACACACACCACGGTGCCAAGCCAGATCCGACTAGGACGCATCAAGCACAACATCAAGTTTCTTCCCTGCTGGACTTTTTGGAGCCTTTTACATAATGCACAATGAGAATTCCTGGAAGAGGGAGAGAGGAAGTAGCATTTCCCAAATGGATTTGATCATGGAATGCTCTTTTATGCAAAGTACCCTGCGGGACTGGTGGTCCGTCATGGGACATTTTTTGGAGCAGGGGCTGGAAAGGCTCCACACCCAGGGCCATGTCACCAAAGCTCCTACATGAAAACCTCTGTCCTTTAGGCTGCTCGGGAGATGTCTCCCTAGGGTGCCATTTCTGCTTCCCCACCCAGCTGCCCCTTCCAGCAAAGACTGCATTTGGCATTTTAGCAACACCATTCTGCACGGTCACTCCTTCCTCACCAGAAGGTGGGGTTTCTGGGGGCTTGGTGGGGTCACCTGCCATGGCACCCAGCTCAGAAGAAGGGCTCTGTAAATGTTGGATCAACTCTATGCCATTGGGCTGCCTTCAGAAGGCAGCCTCCTCTTTCTGGACCCTAATTTCATGCCTTTCTCAAGTGAACTTGAGGTTCCCAGCCACAAGGGCATCCCTGGTGGACTCCCATGAGTTCTCTCCAGCGTGCAAGAGGGATTAGAACCGAGGGTACCAAGATCCCAACCATAAATGCTCCAGTTTCCTCTGAGACCCACTGGTGACTCCCCTAACCACTGGCTTCTATGGCCCACAAGAGACCCCCTTGGGAGGAGGAGCTGAGGGGAGCTGGAGAGAATGGAGAGGGAGGGGGTAGCAGACAGAAACAGGAAAGGAAGAGATGAGCTGAAGAATACATATTTCAGCTGAAGAATAAAATCCCTTAACTATGAAATAGGATTGTGTTGCTCCTGGCCCTGGAAAAAATCCTTCTTCTGGGTCCTGGCTATGCTTTCCTCACTGATTTGTGGCCCCCAGGGCTTCTCAGAGCCACTGATATACTGATGTATGCAGGGGATCTTCAGGAGGGACGTAGGGAGTGCGTGTGAACCTAGTGGATTTATTTGATCATAAGGAACCGTGAGTGCACGGGCTGAGCGCAGAAAACGAAACTTAAGAAAACCTCGATTGTGGGTTGTAAACTCAAATGCTCACAGAGGCCGGAGGAAGTGGACAGGAGGGAGACAGGCTGTCCCATGGCAAATCTCAGGGGAGCACAGCATCTTGGTAACGTGAGCGGCAGCTGCTCGGCTGTTTCTGGTGACTGCCACTGGGCATGGAGCATCCCCGTGGCCAGATCTACCAAACAGTCTCAAAAGATATCAGAAATCCAAGCTTCGGGGTGAAATCAGAGATGCTAAACATTGACAACTTACTGTAAAATTTGAAAGACCTTTACAGACCAAATAAAGCACATCAACAGGAAACCTCTGGTCTGGGTTCAGGAAATGTTGGTGTTGGAAGGGGCTCAAAAACCATCTCCAGTCCCCTGAATTTACAGAAAGGGACACAGAGGCCCCGAGAGGGGCTGCCTTGTTCAAGGTCCCAAAGCAAGTGAGTGGCACAGTTGGGATTTCAATGCAGGTCAACAGACTCCCCAAACAGGCTCTGTTCACAACCCCACACTCAAGTGAATTTAGGGGATTCAAATCTGAGACCCACGGCGGGGTGGGTGGGATTTTGGGCCAATGCCAGCCATTTCTAGAAGCCCACTGCCCTGTCTGCTTAACTCCTGGGGGAAACTGAGCAAAGGCATCAGCAGGAGGTGAGCTGGGCACCAGCCAGATGATGTTCTTAAATAAAGTCTTGGCATGACTCTCCCCCATCAGGAGAGGCTAGTTCCAAAAATGAGAATTTTCAGAGGCGCGACTATAATAGGAATGGAAACTTATTCCTTCTAATTACATAATTGCATAATTATGCAGTATTAAAATTATGTAAGCCGAACTCAGAGGCTTAAAACCTGGCCTGGATTTCCCTCATCACCTGGGGGCTCCCACGTCGCCTGGGGGAAGGAGGACAAAATGGTGGGCTGTGAAGATCTGTGGCCGTTTCATCTCCACTTCCCAGAGATGGGAGAGTCAGAGGCAAAGCTTTTGGTTCTCTCCTTCTGGGCAGAAAAACTGGTTTAAAGACCAAGCTGTTCTCTGTTCTAAAAGGGAAGGGAAGGATGCTCAGAATCTCCCTATGCTTTCTTAGCTCCCAGTCAAACCCAGGATGTAACTTGGCCTTTCTAAAGCCATAACATGGGAGACACGCTCAGATCTGAGATTCCCGCCCCTTCTACAAGTGCACTCTCTCTCAACTCCCAAACCTGATTCCTCCCAGACTTGCTCCATGGACAAGTTCTAACTAGATCCTACTTCCCACTCTTGCCTTGAAGAACCAAAGATATTTATGACTGGTGTGAGGAGGACTTCACAGCTAAGAGACTGACCCCTCTGCACTTATGTGGCCTGATTCCTGGGTGGGCTTGCTTCTTCTCCATCCTTCCATGGTCTCCATCAGTAAGATGGCAACAGGACTCCTAGGTGATTCCAACAGGCAGAGTGGAATCAACATGTCTAGGTCTGATACCTCTAGAATGGCAGACCCTGTCTGGCCCTCCTCCAAGATCCAGGCCACCTGAGCAGCCTGGGACAGAGAGCTCAACCCTCTGCTGAGCACAGAGAAGCACAGCAGGCTTTGGGAATGGGCGGGGTATCTGTTTCCTGTCATGGCTCTGATGTGTCACATCCCTGCCAACATTATATGGAGTCAGAAGGTTTTCTTTTTCCTATTTGTGTTTACTTCCATCACTAAAAAAAAAAAATTTGAGAAGCAACAGGGGGCCTGACAGAGGAGGAAAAAAAATTCACACATTCACCTTTGTGAAGAAAGAAACGTGTCCATTCTCGTCTCTTCCCCTGGGGGACTCTTACATTGCAGGGGCTGGCCATTACCTGGACCACCCTCATGGCAGCTGGGAAGGACAACGCTGGTGGCTGGAGTTGCAAAGGAGGAGGTGAACGGGGAGAATGTGGCACGTTTATGGGCAGGTGGGGGAGACAGTTTCAGACATGGAGATCAAGGGAAGGACCAGAGAGGGTGAGACAGTCTACAGCCATCATTTCCCGGACGCCAATGGGAAAGCAAAATAAAATCAGGAACTCTAGACAAATTGTCTTTGCCATCAAGGCCAAGCATTTGACTTAGACATTAATGTGAGGGAAAAATGGATGTGGTATAGAGCCCTCAAAAACAATGACTTCCATGGAGAAGCGTCCTGCTTTTATTCTAGACAGCACCAGTGAGCACCGCTATACTGAGAAACACGGAAAGGTTGAGGGTTGTAATTTTTCTTCGTGGCTAATTAGCTTCTTTTCTTGTTAGTCACTTATGTCTATAGTTTTCAAAATACAGTTTGAACAGAGAAAAATCTGCATTCCTACTGAGTTAATTCTATAATAGCAACTATACTGTACCTCAGGTACATTTTTCTTAAATTCCCGGCGGAGTTCAATTAAATGTTTATGAGAATGTTCACTCTCCTCCTGCCGTGCAGACAGCTCGGAAGCGACGGAATTAAGCTCCTTCTGGAACAATAAAAAAAAAAAAAAAAGAAAAAGAGAGAGAGAGGGAGAGAGAAAAGAAAAAGATTTTTTTCCTCCTTTTCCTTTTTAATCATCGTACAAAACAGCATTCCAAACAAGTTTCCTTAACTTACAAAAAAGCTGAGAAAAGACAGGATATTGACTCCTGGCACAAATGAATAATTTACGAAACCGGGGATGCAACCGAAAAAAATCCAAGACAGCTTTTTTTGCTTGTCAGAAGTCAGGCCAGATCAATAATCTCCCATAAAGTTGGGTGGAGCTGTTTTTTTTCATTTCTCCCCTACGCCTCTGCCCCACCTCTTAAATTTCCAAGGGAGTGATGGCATAAGCTTGTCAGTAACTGTAGAAAACATCTCCAAACGGTGTCAAAATAGTAAAGTGCGGCATATTGTATGGGCATATTATAGTGTAAGAAAGTGCTGTCGACAGCTTTCATATATCAGAGGTGGGAACTGTTCCAACTATGACTTACACTTAAGGGTTCATAAATACGCCTTTTAAGATATAGATGGCTTTTTAATTTCTGTAGGTTTTGGAAAAATGAAGGTGCCAATAAGAAGCAAGATGACCTTTTGTGTATCCTGCAGTAAATTATCTAAGGTTCACTTCAAGTATAAGAAATATTTCATTGAAGACTCCTGGATTCAGAAGAAAAGGATTGGAAGCAGCCTTGCCTGCTTATGTGCAATGAAGGTTTCAGACCAGGTTTTTACAGGACGAACCAAGGAGGGGAAAAAAAGAGAGTGAGAGATGGAAGTGGGGGACGCTCCAGCTCACACATGACAGACAATGTCTGCTGGTTGTACATGTATATTTGATCACCCCTCTCGCAGCTTTCTTCACTTTAACAGTGGCGGTTTCACGAGGGGAGAATAATTCACCATGAGTTGTCATGGATTTCATTTGCATAATTCAAGAAATGCTCTGTTTATGTGGTCTGCTGCTTTCTTGCACCATCCCGAGATGGGCTTTTTTTCTGGACGATAACTAGAGGAGCATTTCTGTATATATCACCCGATTATATCTGCAGCAATCAAGCCCCATAATTTCCTAAATCCAGTGATGCAATAAATTTCTGCAATCAGATTTATTAAAAACACACAAGCAGATGCAAGAGTGTATTTCTAGGGTGAACTCTTTAATCTAACATATGTATGATGAGGCCCGGCACCGTGCTGAAAGACCTCATTTGTCATCGCTAATGCGCATTCATCTTGCACACACAATGAAACACTTTTACTATTAGATAATGAAATAAAAGTACTATTAACCCGCTGCAAATCCTTTTCCCTCTAAGAGACGAAATGCATGGTAATCGTCTTATATCATGTCTGAGAGTCGGTAAATCTGCTCAACAGCAGTTCACCGTAGCACCATAAACCTCGCGCCCATCGAAGGCTGGAGCGCATACCCCAAACCCAGGGTAAGTGTCTCTGCCTATGGAGCCTTTGGGAGAATCGGGGAAGGAATTTCTATTTCTGGAGAAATGTCTAACCTCTTTGGAGAATCATAAGACTAGAAGGGAGGAAAATCGAGGCAAGAAAGTAGCCATTAAAATAGAGGGGCAAGAGACTTGGAAATGTGGTGCTCTCCAAGGTGCTGATATCAATTCTATGCCACAGCACTGGGTACACCAACTCCAAGGTGCAGGGGCTTCCAGTCCAAACGACCCATTGAATTTTTGAGCCAGGTAAGGAACAAGGTGTCATGGGAGAGAAGAGAGAGAAACAGAAACAATTTCTGACAGTCTGCCAAGGTGACAGAGAAAATAAGGAGATTTCTGGTTTATCATCATTTAAAAATAATTGTAGTTTCCAATAAAGAAACCACAATTGACCGTGACCAAAATATCAAGTGACTAGGGAGAGATCTGTGGTAGCAGCAATGGGACTGACCTAAGGCAGACAAAAACCAACTATGTGGGGCAGCCAGGTGGACAGACCCTCACTTGGCAGGAGAGAAGTAACTGGAGTGTCATGGTCAATTTGAGTTGTGGCAGAGTGCTCACAGTTTTTCTTAGTTTTTCTCATCCGTCTTGAAGATAAAGAGGTGATTTTTACATGGCTACAGGACAAACAGAACTGGGACTTGCGTTAACATCACACAGTTTTGAATGATCATATATCTGACACAATGTTCTTATCTCTGGGATACTGCCTCTCCCAGCATCCCAGCAACCTGGTGGGGGCTGAACTTTGACTATTGATTGATTGATTGATTGACTGTGGTACGCGGGCCTCTCACTGTTGTGGCCTCCCCTGTTGCGGAGCACAGGCTCCGGACGCGCAGGCTCAGCGGCCATGGCTCACGGGCCCAGCTGCTCCGCGGCATGTGGGATCTTCCTGGACCGGGGCACGAACCCGTGTTCCCTGCATCGGCAGGCGGACTCTCAACCACTGCGCCACCAGGGAAGCCAGACTCCTTATTTAAAACATCAAACCCAAGTTCCAAAAGGAAATCTCAGAGCAGGTTAAGTCTAACTGTCTGATGTGCTGTACCAGGCAACGATGCCATGCGACTGCACTGGCTCCCTCCATCCTAACCTCTCAGGCTGCTGGTGGGTACAAATCTGTCTGCTGCATCCACACTGTAGACAGAGCAGAGGTGAGACCAGATGGGGGAACATCAGCAGGCTCCCAACCCCAGCCCCACAGAAGCCCAGCTCTTGCCGTCTTTCCTGTTCATCCCTAGAGGAGCAGACGACGGACATCATGACTGATGTCCATGCTCTTCTTACCTCTGCCTTACATCTATACTCATCCTTCAACTCTGAATTCTTGCCACATTTCTATGGTTAGTACACTAACACGTCAACAACAATAATAGTAAATAATCATAACTACCAAGTATTGGGTGCTTACACGTACCAGGCACCATGCTAAGCTCCTCATATACATCATCTCATGTGACGAGCACATTAATATGTTTGTAAGGTAATTCAAGCAGGGACTAAGAAACGAATTACAGTCCTAATAATTCAGCTGTGAATTATCTCCTTGGTGGATTATAAAGGCAAAATTGTAATGCCCTGCTCGTCACAGGGTTTCTGCTCCACTTCCCCACTAGCTGGGGGATGTTCAGGGAGCTTGTTTTAAATGTTATAAATGTGTAAAGCATCAAGCACAGTACTAAGTGTTCAAAACATGTTGGCTGATACTAATTTAGATACGCTGAGAGCTCAAGGAACACCCCACTAGATCAGTGATTCTAAGAGTTCAGGATTTCACAGGTCAGTAAAAATCTCACACCCCCCGCCCCACCAATAAAAGGATGACAGAGTACTGACAAGTTTTACTCTATCAGGCAAAGACATTAAAAACCACTCCCTCCCACCCTAGAAGACAGGCTATTTGAACATTAACAGAGCAAGACAGCCAATGACAGAATTGACATGTCTTTTAAAATAAACATATTTAAAATAAAAAAGCTCACAGCACTGTATTTATTTTGAAGGAATATAAAAAACTCTCACAAACATAAACCAGCACCAGTCTGAAGCTGAGTTTTAGAAATAAGTGTCTGAACCCCCATGCACATACACAGCTAGCAGGGCCTCTTTGATGATCAAGCAGAACTTGGGATCCTCTCCCACCTGGCCCCCAGCCCCCAGCCCTAGGGGGGCCATGATTAACACAGCCCCAGACTTTGGGCCAGGCCCAGGCAGGGAGAAGACTCATCTGATTAACTGGCCATCAGCAGCAGACAGACAGCCCGGAGCCCGCCGCAGACCATTCAAATAATGATCATCATAAACAGCCCATTTGCAACTAAAAAAGAAATAATTTTAATGAGCTTGAAGCAGATGATAGATGCAGCTGAGGCTCGGGCCAGCGTGCAGAGAGAAAGGAAGCTGGGACTGAGCTGCAGCCAGGGCTAGGAGCAGCAGGAAGAGGCTGGGGCAGGGAAGAAGAGCTCTTCTGATGGGACCTACAGCCCCACTGCTTGCCCACGGGAAATGCCCACTGCCCGGGGAGTGGCCCTAGCTCTGAGAGCGTCTGCCATCAGCTTGCTGGGCAACCTTGGAACTTCCAAGGCACTCACAGTCTCAGAACATATAAGCCAGAAGGAACTTTCAAGGTTGTCCAGTCCATCACTCTCTGAACTTCAACCATTCATACTACCCCTCTGCATGTATTTTGCCATATTGATACTCCACATGAATTACTATTTCCATGATATTTACCTTCAAACTGACTCTTCTTTCTTTTTGTATAATTTTAAGTTCAAATTTTTTTTTTTTTTTTTTTTTGCGGTACGCGGGCCTCTCACTGTTGTGGCCTTTCCCGTTGCGGAGCACAGGCTCCAGACGCACAGGCTCAGTGGCCATGGCTCACAGGCCCAGACCGGATCTTCCGAGACCGGGGCACGAACCCGTGTCCCCTGCATTGGCAGGCGAACTCTCAACCACTGAGCCACCAGGGAAGCCCTTAAGTTCAATTTTAAGCTCAAACTTTTACACCCTTATAACCATTGCCCAGGTAGATACACAGAATATTCACACTCCTAGCACCTTGAAAGGTTCCCTTGTGCCCTCTCCTAGTTAGTACCCCCTTAAAGGTAACTATCATTCTGACCCTAGCATCTAGATAAATTTTGCCTGTTCTTGACCTTTACATAACAACCCCTTCTCTTTTTAACCTAAATAAGTACATTTGAAAAGGAACTTCTTTTTATCGCTAAAGGACACTATGCCATAAACAGAAGGTAGTCTTTAAAATAAAAGTACAATGAAAACAAAGCATTGCTGTTTGTCTTTGTTATAAAAGGAGACTGGCAAGTGCTGGAGAGGTGTTAAAGGTAGAGACTTTCTTCTTGTTCCCATGAGAAGGAATGAATGACCACTGAGAAGGGATAACTGATCCTCCTGACACAGGTCAATCCCTTCTAATGTCAGGTCTACTTACAGTCATCTCACGTCCTAACAGTGGGGGTATGTATGTCCCACACTTTAGCTAACACTAACTGAATCTGAGTCTCCC